TCTCTTCAGAGTGGGGAATGTTAGAGTAGCAAAAAGCCCCATTAAAAAAAAAGGGAAGAAGAAAGAGTACATGAAATTATCAGAAAAAAATGATGGGGAGATATGGGAGGAGTTGGAGGGGTCGGAATGGGCATGGATTTGATCAAAACACCTTACATGCTTATATCCCTGTATGAAATTCTCAATAAATTATTTTTAAAAAGTTTTACCTAATAAGTTTTTCAAAATTGTGGAAAGGAGTATCCAACATAAAACTGACCACATTAACCATTTTGCAGTGCTGAGTTCACTGACAAAAAGTACATTTATATTATGTAACCATCAGAACCACAGAACTCCATCTTCCCACACTGAACCTCTACACCCACTGAACACCAGCTCCCTTACCTTCCCCACTCAACACCCTGTAATTACCGCTCTACTTTCTATCTTTCTGAACTTGTCTACTGTAGGTGCCTCATGTAAGTGGAATCATACAATGTTCATGCCAGACATATTTCACTTAGCCTGGAATCCACCTCAGGTTTATACAGTTGTACCATGTGTCAGAGGTTCTGTCCGTTACTTCTACTTTATGCAAATGCCTTATTTTCACTATAACCATCCAGCCATCAGTGAAAACTCGCATTCTTTTGACCTTTCAGCTATTCTGAATAATGTTTCTACAGAGGTTTCAATATCTGCTGAAGTCCTTGCTTTCCAGTCTCTTGGATATATATCCAAAGTATAACTGCTGGTGATAGAGAAGTTCTATGTATAACTATCATGAGGAACTGTTGTACTGTTTGATGTAGAGGTTGCGCCATTCCATATTCCCAGCAGCAATGACCAAGGTTCAAATGTCTCCACATCCTCCTTAACACCTGCTGTGTTTTGTTATTTTAAATAATGTCATCCTAATGTGTGTTAAAAAAAAAATCCAGAAAGTAATCTCGAGAAATTAGAAAAAATTAAAGTCAGGTTATAAAACATAGAAAAAAATATAGCTTACATCTAATTAGAGTTCAAAAATAAGAGATTAGGGAGAGGCAATACTCGGATAATGGCTTGAAAACTTTCAGAGTAAGTAAAGCTTAGATCCAGCCAGTCTAATTTTCTAGCAGTATTCAAAACAATCAAAATCCTTCACTACCTACATCAGACTGAAAAGGAAAAACATAAGGCTCAGGAATCTTAAGATACCTATGGAGAAAAGACTAATCTGAAAAGGAACACGAGTTTACTAGAAACTTCCAAAAGCAGCAATAAAAACCCAGTGACACTGGAACTTCTCCAGTGTGTGCAGAGTAAATAATTTTTACTCAACCTGTATACCACATAAAATACCACTATAAATCATGGAAAAATAAGCCACTTAAGACCAAAAAGCAGAGTTCACCATCAGAAAACTTCACTAACGGAAATTCTAAGGAAGTATCTTGGGCATCAAATGATCTCCAGGAGAAGATATGAACTGTTAAAAGAGACGGTGGACAAAACTGGTGGTACAGATGTGGGTAGCACTGGATCAGCATTACATTAAACATCTTCATGTTTAACTGTAATTTAAACATGGTTACCTTAGCTTTTCATGGAGACTATTGAGATTTTTATTATTAAATCAATTAGATTAACAAGGACACAATCATTTTTTTTTCCTGATTTGTTTTCTTACCTTTCAAATCTGAGAAATTTGTAGTCTTGTGGCAATTGTTCTTGATATGGGAACACATTTAAATCTTGGAGGGCAGAGCAAGTAAGAGTTTGGGGAAAGGTTCTTAATTGCCAACACAGATAAGCAGTGTTTTATGAAACTTCTAAGATGGCAACTAATGAGATTATACCATGCTATTCTGGAAAGTTTACTCACCCCAAGCTTAAAAATAGATTTGTTTATCAAATCATTATTATACTCCTCTCTGTAAGCTAAAGTGGGTTGATGTAAAGAGAAGGGAACCATTCTAAGCTCAGGTAGAAAAAGATCTTTAGGCTAGGATCAATAAAAAATTATGGATACCAAGAAAGGCATTATATGTAGAGTTAAAACAGAGCATAGAAAGATGGTGTTCCAGCTAGTTCAGATGATGAGATTTCATTGGCATTAGGTCTTAAAGATGAAATTCATAGATTCTCCATGAAATATGGGACATTCTAGATAGAAAGACAAGGTAAAGGCCAAAGATTTCATGATGTTATTCAAGGATCTTTAGGTAGTGTCAGCAAGCTAAGAAGAACTTAAGACTAACTTAAGTTTCCCACCTGTTTGTTAAAGTACAAACTTACTTGCTGACTAGAACAGCAAACTTACAGGTGTGCCATGAGAAAACTTCCAAGAGAAAAATAGTTATACACTAACTGTTAGAACACATGTGAATGCCCAGCTCCAAGCAGTTAACAACAATTCATTTTGATGTTAAATTTGTGTGAAGATGAAGTCTTCTGCGAAAAAAAAAAAAAGAATGTTTATTTTTCTTAGATAGAGCCTCATATTTCCCAGGGTAGCTTTGTAGTGGAGGATAAAACTGAACTCCCGATTGCCTTGACTCCATCTCCTAAGTCCTGTGACTGCAGGTGTGTGCCACCATGCCCAGTTTATGCAGTGCTGGGGATTGAACATAGGACTTTGTGCATAATAGGCAAACACTTTCCTAATTGAGCAAGATTCTTAGCTATTGAAAACTCAACTTGAAACCACAGCATGGGTGGTTATTTCCAATATTCAAGAGACTGTGCACTGTCCAGTAGGCATATCCGTTTGAATTACAGTTTTTAAAAACTATGTTTGAGAAGGTAAAAATACAATTCTATTTATGGTTGCTTTTTAGAAAATGCTTTTAATTTGCTAGGACACAAATACTCATAAGTTAGGTTAGGCCTAACTACTTAATAACCAAAACTTTTGATATTTATTTTAGCCTGTGTAAAAATTACAGAGACACTAAACACAGAGTAAACCAAGAAACCATAGCAGAGGGATCTGGCACACCTTAATACACCATGTGTAAGATGTGTTGGTGGTGGAATCAACATCTACTGTCACCTTTCTTCTCCTTGCCCATTATAAAGGCTTAGAAAAATTAATTCCAAGATATATTTATGGCCAATTAGATAGAAGTTAAAGTCTTCCAGAGCAGGCAGAGAAATGTCTGGGAAAGCTTTTGCTTCTGTTTTGAGAGGGAGTGAGGGAGCAAGGGAGAGAGGGAGGGAAGGAGGGATAGAAAGAAGGAGGGAGGGAGGGAGGATACCCCTTGCTGCTTTCTTCTTGACACAATATAGAAGTAATGCTTGGAACTAAGAATCTATCTTATGACCTTGAAGGAAAGGTTGGTCAAATGAAGGTCACAAGCAGCTGACTTTTGGATTTCTTGCTACTTGAGAAAATAAATCCTATTTACATCATAGTACAAGTTTTCAGTTAGTTTCAGTCAAAGGCATTCTATGGATACAAAGAGTTTATATTTAATCCTGTGAGTAGCAGAAATTCACTGAAGGATTCATAAAGAATGTTCAGTTTTGTTTATTGCTGTATTGTATCCAGCATTTAGAACACTGTCTAGCATGTTGAACAGACTGAAATCAGGTAAGAGATTACAGCAAAGTCTAAACAAGGAATATAGAGGTTAAAACTAAGTGAGGACAATAGATAATGGAATAAAGATATCTCAAGTGCCTTTTAATACATAGAAATCCTTGGATCAAACAGATTCTTCATATACATACACATATACACACATACATACAGACATACATACATATCCTAACAAGATTTACTTACAGCACGTATCATTTAATTTAAAGTCAGCATAGCATTGTTAACATAGCATTAACAGTATCACAGACCCCTCATCTATGATTTCCTTCTCCATACTCTAAGATACCTAAGATTAACTGTGGTCTAAAACTATGAATGGGAAATTTAAGAAATCAAAATCTCAAAACGGTCTAGCATAGTTTGTGTTCAAGTAAGATCTCTTTTTAATGGCTCCAAAGCACAAGAGTGATTCAGATTATGTAAGAGAAGCCAGAAAAACACTTTTTAAAGTGAACTGGTGAAAGTTCTTGAGGGAAAAAAAGAAAACAAAAAACAAAAACCTGTATGCTGACACTGCTAAGATTTACGATAAGACAATGAATCTCACTCGGGAGACTGAAACAGGATGACTACTAATGCTCAGGGCCAGCCTGGACTATACAGAGAGTTTCAGGACAGCCTGAGCTATCCTGTGAGAGACCTTGTCTAAAAAAAAAAAAAGAAAGAAAAAAATTTTCTCAAATTGCAAAAAGTTATGGCCCCAGTATGTAATAAATGCACTATTAAAATAGAAAAGGCATTAAATTGTGGGTTTAAGATAAGAAATGAACAGCAAACATCAATTGACACTAATATGTTATATCAGAAAGCACTAACTACGCCTTTAGAAAGGGGTACCCTAAAGTAACTGATAATGAGTCATTTATTTAGGTCTGGGATGGTGACACAGAATTGGGAACAGATTTGAACTGAAAAACACAAAATTCCCTGGAGTTGCTACATCTGCAATGGAGAATTAGCTACCACATTTCTTGAAGAGTTGGAAGAATTTGAACAGAAAAGGACACTATCTACAGTTAAGTCTTCCCTGCTGAGCCATTTGAATCTCCTGGAATAAGGTGTTCAACATAATCATAAAAAATCAACTCTGGTTGATTTTGACTAAAACTTAGGCTACTGTATATAGTCAAGAACACAGACACTCTCAATAACAAAAAATTATGTTTGAGAGAAAGGCCACATTGAGCATATTGTTCTAATTGTTCTATTTTACTATGAGTTGTTTATAAAGTTTTTTTGATATTTTAACTGAAATTTTATGGGATAACTGTGATAATTCAATACACACATACAGTGTGTGATCATCAAATCAGGGTGGGATGGTTAATCTTCATTGGCCACTTGACTGGATTTAGAATCACCATGAAAACACATCTCTGGGTGTGTATGAGGGTGTTTTCGGAAAGGTTTACTTGAGGAGACTGGGCAGTACCATCCCATGTGCTAGGGCCCCAGACTGAGTAAGAAGGAGAAAGCAAGCTGAACACCAAAACTCATCCCTCTCTACTTTCTGAGCACAGGCACAAAGTGAGCAGCTGCCTCATGTTCTTGTTGCCAGGCCTTCCCCACCACGATGGACTGTATCCCTACAACTGTAAGCCAAAATAAAACCTTTACAATTTTTATTTATTATTTTTACTTTATGTGTATGAGTGTAATGGCTGCATGTATGTAAGTGCATCTGTTTTGTGCAATGCCCTCAGAAGTCAGAAGAGGGTATTGGATTCCCCTGGAACTGGAATTATGGATGATTATTAGCTGCCATGTGGGTCTGGGAATCAAACCCAAGTCCTCTGCAAGAGCAGCCAGTGTTCTTAACCACTGTTCCATCTCTCCAGCCCCCAAACCTTCCTTTAAGTTGTCTTTTTTTTTTTTTTTAAATATTTTAAAACAACTGATAGTAAACAATTAGGCTTACCTCTTCAGAGGGGGTAATTTTAAAGTAGCAAAAAGCCCCATTTAGAAAGAAAGGGGAGGGAGGGAGGGAGGGAAAGAAGTTGTCAGAAAAAAAGTGATGGGGAGATATGGGAGGTGTTGGAGGAGAGGGAGTGGGTGTGGATTTGATCAAAACACCTTATATGCATGTATGAAATTCTCAATAAAGGTTTTTAAAATTTTTAAAATAATAAAATATTTTTAAAATGTAAAAAAAAAAAAGAGTTTCTAGATTAGGTTTGATGAAGTGGGAAGACCCACCCTAACTGTACACAGCACCATTCCATTAACTGAAGTCCTGGACTGAATAAAAAGGAGAAAGGGAGCACCAGCATTCATCTCTGTCTGCTTCCTGACTGCAGATGCAGGGTGACCCGTGGCCTTGCCTTTTCCTCTGTGTTGGACTGGACCCTTGAACTGTGAACCTAAATAAACCCTTCCTTCCTTGGAAAAAAAAATTGTAACAATATGCTCAATGTGGTCTTTCTCTCAAACATAATTTTTTGCTATTGAGAGTATCTGAGTTCTTGGCTGTATACAATAAACCTGGTTTTAATCATAAGCCCTAAGGTGTTGTCATAGTAAGAGAGTTGATTATATTGAACACCTTATTCCAGAAGAGTCGAATGGCTCAGAAGGTAAGACTTACTGTGGATGGGTATCCTTTTCTGTTTGTTCAAATTCTTCCAACTCTATGAGAAACGTGGTAGCTGATTCTTCATAGAGAGATGTAGCAACTCAATTTTGTATTTTTCAGTTCAAACCTGTTTTCAATTCTGTGTCACCATCCCAGATTTAAGTACGGTATTTTGTCATGGCAATGATAAAAGTAACTAATACACAGGATTATCTCTTACTCTGCCTAACTTGTAAGTAAAACTATTGTTAAGTCTGTATGTATAAGAGAAAAACAGAATATAGAGGGTTCAGCATTACCTATGGCTTTAGGCATCCACTGGGGAATGGGGAAGGGGGGACAGAGAAAGGGAGTAAGGGAGAATGAGACAAGAAATTTAATCTTCACAGATAAAGAAACACAATAAATGCCTTAAAAATACTTACCGGGATATTGTTTTGCTGTGAGCTCTAATTTATGAGATAGCAGCATGGCTCCAGTGGTATTATCTATTGTATAAACCTGTACAGAACCACTGTGAAAACAAACATTTTTAGCAAAAGATGACAATAATAAACAGAAAAAGTATTATCATGGGCATCCTATGTTCTAGTAATAGTGTAAAAAGTAAAACAAAGCTATTTTCCAAGTAATTTGTAGTTATCACATCAATGTTAACAAATGCATAGTCTACAGTCTAGCAATTTCCTTTCTAAATATATTCTAGAAATTCCTAACCTTTTTCAGGTGACACATGCAATATTCACTATCCTACTACGTAAATATCACAAAACAATGGGAACAACCTGAACACATAGCAAAATGAGGGGAAAAAAATAAATTGGTACCATATAGCACTGAAAAAGAATGAAATTTAGCAATATGCATTAACAGGGGCAGCAAATACATACATACATACATACATACATACATACATATGTATGTACATATATGTATGCAGTGTGTGCCTTTAATCCCATCACTTGGGAGGCAGAGGCAGGCGGAGCTCTGTAAGTTTCAGGCCAACTGGGGCTACAGGGAGACTCTGTCTCAAAAAGACAACAAACAAAACAAACACAGTTGTTAACTACACTTGTAATCAAAACACAAAGAGCTGATGAATATAAACTTCGGATTAGTGACTGCCCAGGGAGTAAAAGGGGAATATCACAAAAAGGCAAAGGGCTGCTTCTTTTTTTTTTTAAGTGTGTTATAATATATGTATGCATATTCATATATGAGTGCTCACATGGATGTTATGTATGGAGGTCAGAGGACAACCTGAGTGTTGGTCCTTGCCTCCAACTTTGAGACAAGATCACTTTAGATGCCAGGCTAAATGGCCTGTGAGCTTCAGGGAATTCTGTCTCCAACTTACCTCTTGTCTTAGGCACACAGGGGTAACACATAGGCACTACTGCACCTGGCTTTATATGGATTCTGGGTCCAAAATGAGGCCCTTTGGCATGTTCAGAAAGTACTAGAATGTGATTTTTTCCCCCTCTCCCTGAGCAGCCCCACTTCCCTTCATCCCCTTCTCTTGACAGCATCGGTCTATGTAGTCAATTGTCTTTAAACTACTGATCCTCCTGCATCAGCCTATCAAATTCTGGGATTATAGAAAGAAGCATGCTTCATGCCCAGCATCATAATATGCTTTTTATGTGTGATGATATAGATTATCATTTTATATATGCTTTTTCTGTACATAGGCTATATAAACATCTCACTAAAAAGTCTTTTCAAGGGTCAAGCTTATGAAGGACCAGAAACCAAAAGTAAATTCTTTATACTATTTCTAAGTTATATTTCAAAGGTAAATTATATTTGTTTATAGAGCTATTTTCATCTCAAGTATTTAACCAATGTTCATTCTTGAAAGTGAGGTACCTAATTCAGCCATATTGCTTCTACAATGTAATTAAAATGAAAAAGAGGCCGGGCGTGGTGGCACATGCCTTTAATCCCAGCACTTGGGAGGCAGAGGCAGATGTATCTGCCTGGTCTACATAGTGAGTTCCAGGCGTAACTCCAGCACTCTGGAAACTGAGGCAGGAGGATTGTAAGTTCAAAGCCAGTGTGAGGCTCATAGTAAAATCTTGTCGAGAGAGAGGAGGGGGGAGAGAGAGAGGAAGGGAGGGAGGAAGGGAGAGAGGGGGAGGGAGGGAGAGAGGGGGAGGGAGGGAGGTTGGCTCTTAAAGTACTTTTCAGTACAACATTACTTTTTTGGTCTTTTTGAGACAGGGTCTTCCAGTAGTCCCAGCTGGTCTGGCACTCACTATGTAGACCAGGCTTCAATCTCATAGAGATCCACCTGCCTCTGCCTCCTGAGTGCTGGGACTAAAGGCATGCACCACCACGGCCTACAAGATCACTTTAATCAGGAAGACACTGGTGTAAAGTGCTAGAATGAAGAACCTAAGGGCTTGAAGGTGCCAAAGAAATGCTGAGAAGATGGAAATACTAATTATTCTTATTTGTTCGACATATCATATATATATATATGTTGAAACATACTATGTCTTACGTATAAATTACATGATCAAAAATTTTAAAGATCAACTACTAATCCCAAAGCAAACCACGACAAATACCTCCCTCCCCAAAGCCTCTTGATGTTTGTTTCACACACAAGAAATGACTAGTAGGATCTAATGTCCAGCTTATTCATATTAATTCAGCTATTACAGAATGTGTATGTGCATATACATTTGTTATGTGTAAATGTGGATGGATGCATGCCATAGCACATGTGTGCAGGTCAGAGGGCAACCTCCAGTGTCTGTTCTCACCTTTACCTTGTCAAGGACAGGGTCTCTTTTTGTTTTTCTGCTGTGCACTCTAGGCTACCCTTGGGGGACTTTCCTTTCTCTGTCTCCCATCTCCTAGAAACGCTGGGATTAAAGATTCTCGCATTATGGGTCTGGCTTTTACATGGGTTCTGATGATTCTAGCCCAGGTCTTCACACTTGAACAGCAAGTGCTTTTACCCATTGAGCCACTGCTCCTGCACAGTAGAACTTTTTTATAGCTCATGGTCTACTAGGATCAATCAGATTTGATTATCACTTTATTTACCTTTTACCTGTAACAATTCTGACCGTTTTGTTTTTATGGCATTGACTTTAAGTCCAAGTCAATTCTTGATAAAATGTTTAAATTTACTTCGTCATTTCCTCATGATGGCATTTCACTGATTTCTCTAAGACCTAGAGTGACTAACCTAAAAGCATACTGTTGTTGAGCAAATACAGTTCAGTGACTGAAATACTCAGAAATCGAGTTTGGAATAGCATTTGAAGAATGTTCACAGACATGGGTGCGTTGGCAAGTGTGCCGTTCCCATTTTACTCTGTTCAGAGATAGCACCCAGGAATTTTAAGCAAAGCCAGATGTTTGAATCCAAAAGAGATACTCTAGGCTTGAGCTAAGGGCGTCTAAGTGCAATGATTAGAAAGTGCTATCCTTTCCCTAGGAAACTGAAGGCAGAATCTTAGAGAATCTTTCACTCACTCCAGTTTTCATTGGTTAGGAGACTGTACCAGCACTTCTTGGCAAGGTAATTAATACTGGGTTGAGGTTAAGGGGTTTTTGTTTTGTTTTTGCAGGAGGGGAACTAATTGGTCTCTGTTTGCTTTTGGATAGTTCTGTGTCATACAAACCAGTAGCTCTGGCCTTAATCTGCCAGTATTTGCTGAGACTAACTGCCTTGAATGCTAGGCTATAGCTGATATATTGAGGGTTCTATAAGATGCCAACTTTCTTTTTTAAAAAAATATTTTATTTATTATTTTATTTTATGTGCATGAGTATACTGCCTGCAAGCATGTAAGTGCACACGACATGCAATGCCCATAGAGGTCAGAAGAGGGCATTGAATCCCCTGGAACTGGACTTGCAGGTGGTTGTTAGCCACCATGTTGGTGCTGGGACTTGAACCCGGGTCCCCTGCAAAAGCAGCCGGTGTTCTTAACTGATGAGCCATCTCTCCAGCCCCCATGACACCGAACTTTCTTTTAGAAAGCAAGTTTACAAGGAGTAGGTGCTGAGCAACCTAACTCTTACCTCTGCCTTTGATAATTATGACAAGGATAATCAAATCCATTTAGTATATTTGACTGAATGTTTTTGCATGTTGTTCCTGTGACATCATTTAACAGTAATATCAAATTGTCCCAGTACTGATGACAAGAAGCTGATTTTACGTGTGAGCTTTATATGTACTCACTAATTGAACACACCTTCATGTAAAGGCAACATAAACACTGAAGTCTATAAGAGAATTGACAATAAAGACCCTAAATTTTAATTGACATTCCTTTTTATTTTGTCACTATTTTTCTACAGTTGAAAAAACTCACTTTTCCATATTCAAATGTTCAGCCTCTGAAATCTGTTTATCTTTGTTTCATTCTAGTAAGACACCTTTAGATTTTATATTAAGATGATTGATAATTATGACAAGGATAATCAAATCCTTTTAGTATATTAAGATATCTTTTTTTAATTAAAAAAATCAAGTTATCAATTACCTTGCACAACCAAATGCCATTAGTCGATATTTATTATTTACTGCTACACATGTTCCATCAACAACATCTTGTGGCCAAACTCCATGAAGTTGCTAAAAAAGAAAAAAAAAGTTAAGGCTTAAAACGTCCCCCAAATTGTAGTTTAAATAATTCTCTTTCAATAAACATTCAGTTTAATAAGGTTTAACTTGGAAATATCTCATAAGGACTGTCATATGAATATTTTCCCTTAAAATGTCAAACCTTTCATTAATTAGCCCAAAAACCTCAGTGCAGTGCTAATCTATCATATACTTACAGATGTATATTTCATTATAATGAAAACATTTTGCTTTTCTGTGGTACTAGTTATCAAATCCAATTATGCTATGAATGCTCTCTCTCTCTCACTATACTATACCCAGCTCTAAAATATAATCCTTGGGGCTGGAGAGCTGGCTCAATGGTCAAGAGCACTGACTACTCTTGCAGAGGGTCCTCATGCAATTCCCAGCAAACACATGATGGCTAACAACCGACCGTAACTCTAGTTCCAGGGGATCTGCCACCTTCTTCTGACCTCTGTGGGCAATGCACAACACGGGTGCACTTACCTACATGCATACAATACATCTATACACATATAAAATTTTTTTTAAATATTAAAAAATAAGTAAAACTAAATGCAAACGTTTTAGAAACAGAAACAGTGTCTCATTACTCACTATTAATACACTGATTCCCAGAGCAAAATTCTACTGCTTGGTTAGTACAAAGCAGGGAATTTATTTGGTTTATCATTTAGAAGCAACTTAGTATTTGTGAATTGCTTACTTTTCTCTAATTATGATAATATAGTTGGCAGCACTGTTTCTGGTAGCTGACATAACAGCTCATGTCTACTTTCATTTCCTCAGAAAACTATCTGATATTTCCAAATTTTAGTCTTCTTATCTGCCAATTACTTCTAAGAGTAGCTCAGAGATTAAATGAGAATGTAATATGCCAGTTAGTATACTGCTTAACATTCAACAAGTTAGAGAGTCATTAAATAACATTATTACTCTTTTCATGTACTATTTAACCCCATATATAGATATAGAAGGAATTTTAACTTGGTTGTTGTTACTACTTGTCAAAATATACGTAGCAAAAGCTAAGGGTGTGTGGTGCAGTGGTAAAGTGCTTGCCTAGCATACACTGAGGTCCTGGACTCAATTCTTTTGTAAAAATATTTTATTTAGAGGCTGGAGAGATGGCTCAGCAGTTAAGAACACTGACTATTCTTGCAGAAGACCCGGGCTCGAATCCCAGCACCCACATGGCAGCTAACAACTGTCCATAACTCCAGTTCCAGGGGATCCAACAGCATCTTCTGTCTTCCTTGGGCACTGCACGGCACGGGTGCACTTATCTACATGCAGGCATAACACTCATACACATAAAATAAATAACATATAAAAATATTTTATTTATTTTTATTTTATGTGTGTAAGTATTATGTCTGCATGTGTGTAAGGGCACCGTGTCATGCAGTGTCCACAAAGGACAAAAGAGGGTGTCGGATCCCTTGGAACAGGAGTTATGGATGACTGTTAGCCCCGATGCGGGTACTGGGATTCGAACCCGCGTCTTCTGCTCTTAACCGCTGAGCCATCTTTCCAGTCCCTGGTCTCAATTCTTAAAAATAAAATAAGGCAAAGGTCATGACTGCTAACAATTTAGTAGTAATCACAAAAAGAACACCATAATGCACAAACACACACACACACACACACACACACACACACACGCATGCACACACGCACACACATACGCACACATATCAGAAGCTGGCAACTTTCAATGCCCCTTCTAGACATCTTAGGCTAACCAAAACAAAACCTCACTGTCAGAAAATAATAATTCAACTTTATTTTGGAACTCTGTCACAGCAGCAAAATCAATGTGTTTACCGTCTAAACATCAAAAACAGAGAAGTAAAAAGATTCCTTGGGATGATGAAGACGAGGAGGAGAAGGAGGAAGAAGGAGGGGGAAGACAAACTACAATGTTTGCTAAAAGTATATCGTAGTAAGCAATCAGTCTGGAGACGAAGTCAAATTTGGAATAGTCCAAAACGTTCTAAGAGAAACTTCTTAAAGAAGATAAAATGGAATCCTGATGATTTAAAAGAACAGAGAAGATATTTACATAACTGACTACTTTGGGTTAAGTGGTAAGTACATAAAGAGAAAGCAAATGTCTCATTTGAGCTGACAGTTCATTAATTAAGTGCTGCCAAGAAAGCATGACAACTTGAGTCTGATACCCAACACCCATGTAAAAAGTTGGGTATGGTGGTATGTGTTTGCAAATGCCAGGGCTGGGAGGCGAAGATAGACCTTTGAGACTTGCTGGCCAGCTAGGCTAGTTTACTCTGGCCAGTCAAGACTCTGTCTCAAAAAACAAGTGGACAGTGACTGGTGAATGATAGTCAAGGTTGTCCTCTGACTTCTACACACAGGCACCTGCATATATACAACCTCCTGTATACATATGTGTACCTGTACACACATGAACATGAACATATTCAAACACACACATACTCAGAGTAAGCAAACATAAAGGACAAAACAGTAGTGAAACTCTGCACGAAAGGAAAAAGTAATCATAACATACTACACAGTTCAGTATTAACAATGTTTATATACTAACATATAAACAATGGCTAGTAATCTCATTAAAACAATTAACTTCACTGGGAACACATTATGAGTGCTAGGATCAGGAAGGTTTGAAGTAAATGGTAATTTTCCACAGAATTAAGTCAGTAACAAAATAATTCTCTATATAGCTTGACTAAAATTTTATGAATTAAGAAAACAAAAGATTTAATAACAGAGTAAAATTAATAAATGAAAAATAATTCAATGTGCATAATCCATACCTCTGCAGTAAATCTACTTGATACTGGTGTAATAAATCCAACTTTACCATCATTAAATACAACGGCAAATCCATCAAGTGTGGCACAGTATTCCATATCTTTGATGTGCACATCTGCAAAGCCCAAGAATGAACCTACTGATGAAAAAATAAAGTAGGTTATAATAAGTTATCACCTCATATTTTGGTGTAGTACTACAATGTCAAGTATGCCGGGCGTGGTGGCGCATGCCTTTAATCCCAGCACTTGGGAAGCAGAGGCAGGCAGATCTCTGTGAGTTCAAGGCCAGCCTAGTCTACATAGTGAGTTCCAGTACAGCTGGGGCTATAGGGAGACCCTGCCTCAAAAAGACCAAAAAAAAAAAAAAAAAAGCCAAGCAAACAAATATTTAACAACTTGTTCTACCACACGTAGAAAGTATAATTACCTCTAGATGACTGTAGATCTACTGAAAAAGGTACTGTGGAAAGATTAATGGCTTTCCTTCCATTTGTCATTCCTTCCCAATGAATAAGATGAAGAAGTCCATCAGACGTAGCAACCAGAAGATCTTCCAGCACAGACTGCAAACTGTAGGGCAGTAAGCAATTTAAATCAATCCACTTTTAAGGCAGCACACTAGGAAAGCAGGGGGTATATGAATAGAACTGCTCTAAAAAATGTTTCTACAAGGCCAGTGCGTAAGGCAGGAGGACTTTAAGTTCAAAGCCAGGCTGGTCTACATAGTGAGTTCCAGTCCAGTCAGGATAACAGTGAGACCCCAGTACCCCCAAACAAAGCTAACTAAAACAGAAAGAGATAATAAAAAAGATAAAAGGAAAATGCTTCTACAAAGATCATGGAACCCTTACAGAACATCACCTGTCTACAGTGTAGCTGTCTAGCAACTTTAGGTATAATTTAATCTAGAATCAGAAATTTTGAGAGAAATAAGACTGGACAGCCAGACTCACAGACTAGATAAAGTGGGTTAAAAACTAGAAACGCTAATAAATAAATACTTAAAGGGGCTAGAGAGATGGCTCAGTGGTTAAGAACTATGGCTACTCTTCCAGGACCCAGGTTCAGTTCCCAGCACCCACATGATGGCTAACAACCATCCTTTAACTCCAGTTCCAACACTCTCTTCCGACCTTTGGGAGTATTGCACGCACATGGTGCACTTACATACATGTAGGCAAAACACTCGTACACATTAAAAAAATAAATAATTAAATGTTCACCTGTACAATCTAACAGTAGTCACTGCCTAGAGGTAGTGATCATATACTTAAAAATTACTAGTCTTCATAATCTTTATATTATAATAAACAAAGCTGCAACAACTGACCAGACATATGAACAAGAATATGTGAACCAGAGGAAAAAGAAATATCCATTAAAATAAATAAATAGACAATCCTAATATTAGAATCAACACAAAATGATTTAAAATAACTATGATAAACATGACAAAGAATCTACCTGAGGGCTAGGGAGATGGCACAGTCAGTAAAGCACTTGCCCTGTAAGCCTGAGGACTTGAGTTCAGATCCTCAAAACCCATTTAAAAAGCCAAGTGCAGTGGGACATTGGTAATCCTGGTACTAGGGAGTGGGGAGGGCAGAGATAAGTGGTCCCCAAAGTTCACTGGCCAGTCAGTCTAGCTGTACCACTGAGCTCCAGGTTCAGTGAGAGATCCTGTCTCAAAAAATATGATGGAAGGCTAGGTGTGGTGGCGCACATCTCTAATCCCAGCACTGACAGGCAGAGTCAGGCGGATCTCTTTGAATAAGGTCAGCCTGGTCTCATAGTGAGTTCCAGATCAGCCAGAGGTACATAATGAGGCTCTGTGTGAAAAAAAAGAAAGATGGAAAGAGAAAGACACCAGATATCAATCTCTGGTTTCCACACACCACACACAAAATAATCTACATGAAAAGTTAGACACCGCATTCACTTCATTTCATTAAAAGTAAACAAAGTTGTTAAAACAAAGGCTGATATGGGCATTAAAGTAATAAATATTTCTCCATTAAGGCTGGAAAATGGGTCTTGCCCCAAGTCACCCAATTGCCACTAATGATTAATTAAATTTTTAGTACAAATATCAAAACCAACAACTTAATGTATTTCAAGCTGTACTGGTTCATCCTTGATTTTAAGTACATACAAATACACATAAACATATTCAGGTATGTTCTGAAATAGTCTCTTCCCTCATTGGCTTTATGGGCTATTAAACAGGTATCTTTTTTCTAAGATGCATATATTTATGACTTGGGCTCTAAACTAAGTTCTGAAGGATCTAATATGCTATGAAGAGATACGATGTTTATTATATGCTGCCTTGTATTACTTTGAAGTAGAACAGTGTTTCAGATCAACCAAATATTCTTTTACATATTGTATGAATTATATAATTCATAAACCCACAAAATGTAATTATCAATACATTTAATATTTCACTAAACTACATTGTATAGTACCCCAAATGGAAGAGGCTATGGAACAAATTAAGACATTTTAAATTTAGAAAGAGTATTTTATATTTATAATTAATACTCATTATATTACATATTTTAATCTTTTACACATTATATTCAATTAATAACAAAGGATGGAAGCTTACTACTAGTCTATACTTTTATCAAAAAAGGTAACTATTTTTGCTCCTATAAGCAACATTAGAACCATTATTCCTAACTTTAATTGACTTACATTTCTGGTGATAGTAGAAACATAGCTGGTTATAAAATCAATGTCTTCTCATTGATTTCACAACTACATGAAATTCCAATCATAATTCCATAAGAATAGATTAGGCATGCTAATGGCATTGCTCTGAAATATAACTCTTTCTTTGGAAGTTTGAGAGAAACCCCAGAGATTTCTAACCACCTAATATTTCTAGGACCTATTATTAAGTTAAATTCACACAAGTTGGAAGAAAACTTGCTCCCAACCCCCCGCCCCCTTGGAGGTGCTAGAGACTATACCCTGGGCCCTGAGCACAGCAAACACAGGCTCTAGTGCTGAGCTACACTCCTAGCCCCAGAAATTTTTATTTAAAAGGCTTTAAGTCGCACTCTCCCTCACCCAGCAGCAATCAGTCTCAAATAGTTCTCAATCTAGTGCTGGCCCGCCACATATTTCTCAAGTCCCCTTTGGGCCCTTGTTTTATTGAGCTGACATGGGTCCTGTGCTTGATGCCACCGCTGTTGCAGGCTCACATGAGCAAGCCTAAAGTGGCCTGGAAGCCTCCATCTCCCTATGTTCAAGAACCAGTCCTAGCTCTTACAATCTTTCCACCTCCTATTCTGCAATGGTCCCTGAGCCATGGGTGGGTGACGTTCCATATAGGAGTCCCATCCTACACTCTACATTCTTATTCTCCAAAACATGGCCAGTTGTGGCCCTCTGTGTACATTGCACTCTGCTGTACATGGATGCCTCACTGGTGACAGATGAGGGGTGCATTAGCCCTCTTGCTATCCCTTATTCCACTATGTTCCATGAGCCTTGGTTGTAGAGACTGGACTACAGATGTGTTACCTAGTACTAGGCATCTCCCAGGCATATATTCTCTGTGCCTGACCAGATGTGCAAATCTGCAGTAGCCTCCATCGGTTGCAAAAAGAAGCTTCTTTGATGAAAGCTGTATGGCATGCTTGTCACTCTAAGGGAGGTCTCTTCTATCTGGCACTGTGTTCCCTGCCAAGCAGCTCCCAGGTATACATACGCATTAATGTTCAGACACTCTATATGCATTTCTCATAGGGTTTCTAAGTCACTTTTCCCTCGAGGTTTCCTAGTCCTCTGAGATTCACTCATCTCCACTCTTTTTCTCTCCCATCCAGCTTCCCTCCTCCCTCCCTCCCTAGTCACAGTACCCACTGGATGGGCTGACTAGATTCCAGTGGGCCCATTTACACTGAAGGACATTTGGGTACAAACACTTGAATGAATAGGACTTAGTATGTATGGCACAGTGCATAGGTTTCAATTGGGGGATAAGGGGAGTCATGGATGGGGGAAGGGGGTCTGGATTTGAGTAGGAAATGTATGAAATTTAAAAAGCTCAAAAAAAAAAAAGTTACAGGGCTGCCTTCCACCACGATCAGCTACAGACATACTGATGCCTGCAGGGCAGTCAGCCAGAGAGCCAGAAGCTCACCAGAAGCCTAACAGAGCCCAATGTCAATGTCAGAATCTTACCATGCACACACACTGCCACCACTGCCCAGGGACCCACCTCTGCCTTCCATTAGACCTTCCTCCATTCTCCTAGGTCTTACATACTACACACATGCACACATGCTACCTTTAGTAGTCTTGTCTGGTTATAGACCACAGAGATTAAGAAAATATCATCTAGTGGCCTTGCCATCTGTCTTTCTCTTCTCGTACTGTGGATGCTTCTTTGCACCCATCAGTCTTGGGCCCACGGTCTTGAAACCAAGAAACATAAAGTTACAGAGCTCTGATGAAAACACATTTGAAGCCAATGTAGAAATTGCTAAACAATCTGTGGCCATTAAGACCATGCTGCAAGATTTGGGAATGGATGATGAAGGAGATGATAACCATGTTCTTCTACCAAATGTCAATGAGGCAATGCTTAAAAAGGTCATTCAGTGGTGCACCCAACACAAGGATGACCCTCCTCCTCCCAAGGATATTGAGAATAAAGAAAAGTGGACAGATGATATCCTTGTTTGGGACCAAGAATTTCTGGAAATTGACCAAGGAACACTTTTGAAATTTATTCTGGCTGAAAACTACTTAGATACCAAAGGTTTGCTTAATGTTACATGCAAGCCAATATAAAGTGGAAAGCTTCTGAGCAGATTCACAAAGCCTTCAAATACCAAAATTGAATTTACTGAAGAGGAGAAAGCCCAGGTGCACAAAGAGAGCCAGTGGTGCGAAGCACTGTGCCCGACACCGTAACACTATGAGGACTGCTCCAATGTTAGCTGCACTGCTGTTTATAATTGTTAATGTTAGATGAACAGTAGACAAATGCGGAAGCAATCAGCTGTGTTAGTGTATGTCCTCAGTGCATGTGTAGTTCCAGTATACATCCTATGCTGGAGTCACTTCTATGAGCAGAAGTTTCTTTTTTTTCTTTACTCTGAATAAAACTGAACTATGGTTCTCCAGACAGTGGCTTTTCTTCTTTCTGTAAAGTGATTTCTACCTTTATTGTCCAGTTAACTTCATGAACTTTTCAAAGTTGGCATTGTAAATACAACAACTTTAAAAAAAAAGTATTTTGTAATAGGATTTAAAAAAAAAAAAAGGCTTTCTTTTTCTATCTTATTTCCATGTACTACACAGCTTTACCATGAGATGGGGGCAGAAAGCCAAATTTGCATTATTTCACCTTACAGGTACCAAGGTACTCAAAATTCTTTCTAAATCATATTACATCCTTTTAAAACTTTAACCGTGTGTGTGTGTGTGTGTGTGTGTGTGTGTGTGTGGCATGTGTACACATATAGAGGCCAGAGGAGGAGATAGAGTGCCCTGTTCTATCACTCCACCTTATTCCCTTGAGGGTCTTTTACTGAACTTAGAGCTAGGCTGGAAGTCAGAAATCCCCAACAATCCTCTTCCCTGCAGACCACAGTGCTGAAGTTACAGGACTGGGTGTAGCTATACACAGCTTTGTAAGAGGGTGCTGAGGATTTGAACTCAGCCTCATGCTTGTGCAACAAGTGCCTCCCTGAACTATTTCCTAGCCCTCTCAAATCACTTTCTTAAAAAGCCATACATACTGAAGTGGGCACTAAGGATTCAAACTCAAGTTTGAAGCAAGTGCTTCATGCTTGTGAAGCAAGTGCTTACTCACTGAGCCATCTCAAGTCACATTCTTGGAAAGCCTTTCAAGTCAAAGTAAATAAAAGTTAACCTAAGTATCCTTTGATCCACCTTTTGATCACATTTAAGCAAATAACATTCTTTTCCATTAGAGTATTAAAGAATAAAAAAAAATGGACTAAACAAGGCAACGGCAATAGCCCACCATTTGCATACAAATTTCTGTAGTATATTCCAGTGTCGTTCTATATAGTATTCTAATAAAAGAAGTGGTGCTATAGAAGCTGTTTATTAGAACTATTAATCAGAAGGATTTTTAAAAATAGGAATCACATTTATATAGTTCAATAGATTAAAATTATAGTCATATAGCTCATTATTTTAAATTGTTTTACATTTATTTATTCGTGTATATGTGTACACATGTGCATGGGTGTGCAAAGTTGCATGTGTCAGAGGACAGCCTGTGAGAGTAGATTTTATCAGGTTTGGCAGCAAACACCTTTACCCACTGAGCCATCTTGCTGGTCTACAGCTCAGTATTTTTAAAAGGTACATAGTAAAAATTCTTTTTCCAAAACCTGTCTTCCAGTTTCCTATATATTCTTCTAGAACAACAAACTCCCAATACTATTACTATTCTCCCTTTTAAAAGTCAAACATCATTACATATTATATACTCATTCTTTTACTCAACAAGCTGGAAAGTCTTGTCAGCAAAGAGCATCACTGTTTCACAGCTGCACTTTGTTTAAATAAATCATCTTACATATATGCAATGGAAACAACTACATTAAATAACAAAATGTCAACCATGAAGCAAGTAAGAAAATAAAGTCAAAGGGCTGGGGAGATGACTCAGCAGCTAAGAGCACTGGCTGCTCTTCCAGAGGACCCAGGTTTGGTTCCCAGCACCCACAGGGTAGCTAACAACCATCAGTAACTCCAGTTACAGGTGATTCGACACCCTCTTCTGGCCTCCCTGGGCATTGCATAGACAGGTGCACTTACATACACGCAGGCAAAACACCCATATACATAAAATAAAAATAAAGAAAAGAAAGTCAAATTATAAGGTCACTTTAAAAAAAAGAAATCATTGGTTACAAATAGATTTTTGGTATTTTGGTATTTTTCACTGTCTGTTCATAAAACCTTTATTCACACTTAAATCAGAAAGCCTAATGTTCTTTCAAGTGTACATGTACTTCCAAGAAACTGATGAAGGTTGTGGAACCAGTTCCTCTTTTCTTCAACAGATGATTTTATCAGCATCTTTTTCATTATGCTATATCATTCAAACAATTAATATATAAATTTCAAATTAAAAGCAAAATTTCCTTTTTTAAGTAATTTTTTTGAGAATTGTATCTGAATCATTTCCCCCCTCCAACTCCTCCCATGGCTCCCATTGCCTCTCAATTTCTTGTTCTCTTTTTTGATTATTATTGTTACATATATATACACATATTTATAAATACACACACACACACACACACACACACACACACACACTCTGCACTGAGTTCATTTAGTTATGTACATGTGTTTAGAGCTAATCCCAAGTGGTCAGCCCAGCCAGTCCCCAGAAAAAACTTTCCCTTCCTCAGTACCCACTGGCCTGTAGCTCTTCACCTAGAAGTGGATGCAGTGAAATTTCCCTCATCCACATTAGCATGTCAACTGGCTTTGTCATTATGTGGATCTTGTTAGGCTACCAAACTGTGAAGATTTCATAGATGCAGAAAAGCAATTTTCTTGTCACTCATGTGATTAACAACATGGTCTTTTGTCTACATGGTCTTTTGTTATCACAAAGTACCAAACTTAACCAAAGTACTGTACCTTGTGACAGGTGCTTGCAAATCCAGTATTTTCTTCATCTCTAAATTTAATGCTGGGGCACAATGTTCTTCCTTAAAATGGGGTATCCCCTTCATTTGTGGACTTCCTCTAAAAGAAATAGCATAGGATTAAGACAAAAATATTAAATTTGCCTCACTCTTTAACTACTAGACACCCAATTAAATAAACATAACCAAACTTACAAATAAGGTGTCCATTCTTTAGACTGACAAATGAAAATCAAACTTCAATTCCATTACAGTAGACACATCTGTATAACAAGTGGATACAAGTAAGCTTGACTAATAACTTGTGTTGGGCAAGTAAGAGGGAGGGAGAAAAACACAGGGGGAGAGAAGCGGGGGAGTGAGAACAAGAGAGAGAACACCTAAAATAAAGACCTAAAATAAAGGTGAACCTTCAAAAGAGCCAATAATATATTTTGGGGATTTTTATTAATTTATTTTTATTTTATATGTATGAGTGTTTTGCCTGCATATGTCTAAGTATATCTACACAGATCATAGGAGGTCAGATGAGGGTGTCAGATGCCCTGGAACTGATGTTAACAACTGTTAGCCACCGGTGCTGGGAATAGAACCCAGGTCCTCTGCAAGAGCAGCCAGTGTTTTTTAATCACTGAGTCATCTCTCCAACCCCCAAGAGGCATTTTTTTAAAAAAATGATTGTGAGCTCTTTCCAAGCTGGGAAACAATAGAAGAAATATATCACTCCACAGACAGTGTATGTTAATTCATTTTACTTTATTCCACATCCCATCTTTGATTCCTATCTTTGGCTCTCTATCAGAAGTAATGTCAGATTCATGGATGTAATTAGACATTTCATAAATGACTTGGAATTCTGTAACAAAATGACTTTTTTTTTAATTCCTAGTGATTAATAGCTGCACACCAAGAAACTGAGTTGCTGTGCACACCCCTCAGGACTATAGAACTATCTTGAATTCTTTATCTCCAAGTGGCATAGGTGTATGCTATCATTAAATGACCATTTTTCCTCATTGCCTGCCTTGGGGTCTAATGGCTACGTATCTTTTGCTCACAACTATCAATACTGTCAACAACTGCCCAAAATACCTCTTTTTCCAGTCACCTACAATCCTAGAATTCAGTCTATTAATACCACTGAAGTTATGTTCAAAGTACTGAACAAGTCCAATATAGCTTTTGAGGTTTCTGGGTTTTATGATAATTACTTTGCTGCTCAACAACCTTTGCAGTTTAGTTTTAATAGTGAATTGATTCTTGTGTATAAGCTCGGTGGTGGCTTATTGTCATCTTGTCCTGCTACTGTAATAAGCAGGAATACTTGATCCCTTCTATGTCTGAAGGGCTAAGCTAGCTGATACTTAACGACACAGATTTTTATATATAACTAATATGTTTGGTTAATGCAACAGAATTTTCGATTTTTTTCTAAAAAGAGCGTGAATAATTAATTTACTGGAGAAACACTCAAAGCGATAATCATACTATTTTGTGGTCAATTTCCTGAGACATTTTCCAGTTATAAATAGTTTTAAAGTTAATTTCATTTTCAAAGAATATTAAAATTAAATAGTACTGGAAGACTTATGAAAAAAAAAAGGAGTAGTCGCTGAAGATTTTGCTAAGAACAAGCCACTCCTAAATTAAGTTCTTGTTAAAATGGAGACAACCAAAAGAATGATCAGTATTTGGAATTCACTTATGTGTCTTTAAAACAATGTATCACCCTGAGTATCTTAAAGCTCTCCCCACTCACCTCTTTGAGATAGGCAACAGGTGTCCCTATGTAGCCCAGGTCAGTTTTAAATATGGAATTCTTTTGTCTCTACCTCTCAAGTGTTGTCATTTTCTGAGTGATTTGTGTGTGTCTTTTTTTTTTTTTTTTTTTTTTTCTTTGATAATTTCATGTATTTATATATGTTGCATTCTGGTCATTTTCACATTACCTTCTTTCATTTCCTCTCTCCTACTGAAACCCTTCTTCCCCTCAAGCCCCTTCTTATGTTTTTTTAAAAAATTATTTGGTCTTTTCTTTTTTTTTTTTTTTAGTCTTTTTTGAGAGAGGGTCTCCCAGTAGCCCCAGCTGTCCTGTAACTCGCTATGTAGACTTGGCTGGCCTTGAAATCAGAGAGCTCCGCCTGCCTCTGCCTCCTGAGTGCTGGGATTAAAGGAGTGCGCCACCACACCAGGCTTCTATTTTTTATTTTTAATAGGTTCTAAACTTTCAGAATAATACTCTCCATAAGTATGTGAACCTACATCACTGTTTGCACTGAACACTTGACATTTTCAGTCTAGTGAGGTCTTTAGTGTAGGTCTAGGATATTCACAGTAGGTTTCCTTAATATGTTAATAAGGTTTGTGATTTCTGGTAATCTCTTTCTGGAATTCTTGCCAGGTTAGATACTGAATCTCATATCAACTTCTAATTTTCTGTTTTTCTCTCTTATTTTTGCCTTTTGTCTTTTAACCATGCATAGTTCCTTAAATGTTTCAAAACTCTCATGGAATTTTAGTTTCCCAAACTTTCTCTAACTCACTGCCCCATCTCTCCTTAAGATATCGTGTTCTGTTTCACTAGGCAAATATATCTGTCTGAGGTGGTCAACTGCCATTTCCTTGAAATGCTTCTCTGCATCTCTTTTCCCCTTTAAGTCCCCCCACCTTTTCTATTGTAAGTTTTATTCTGGAAACTTTCCAAGTGACTAATAATCCTCGGGTCTTTATTTTTAAAAAGTTAAAGACTGGTAGGTTGACCAGACACCAAGTGATAGATTCACACCCAAGAGCATTTGGGAAACACAACTGACGACAGGCCCTTTAAAAAAAAAAAGAAAAATAATAATAGAGGACATGAAGCTAGAGGGAGTAGTAAAGGTAGGGTAGGGGTCTGAATATGATCAAAATACACTATGAAATTCTCAAATCGGTCAAAGTATTTTATTTTTTATTTTTATTTTATGTATCAGTGTATTGCCCATATGTATGTAAGTGCACCGATGTCATGCAATGCTCACTAGCGGTCAGAAGAGGGTGTCGGATCCCCTGGAACTGGAGTCACAGATGGTTATTAACCTCCATGTGGGTGCTGAGAGTCAAATCAGCAGCACTGATTTGAGCAGCCAGTGCTCTTAACTGCTGAGCCATCTCTCCAGCCCCAAAGTTGTTGGGTTTTTTTTTTTTTTTTCTAAGTTAGTAAGAATACTCTGGGTCTGCAGGTAAGTTTGCCAACTGTCAGACTTCTGCCTAATGGTTGGCTGCCTTTTTTCCTGAGGTCCTCAGATAATACTAGCTATTAAATAACTTTTTCTAGAGTGGTTCAGTTTCTCCAGGAAGGATCCCTCAATTCTAGCAGAGGGCTTACACTTTAAGGAGTGGGGTGAGGCTTGTGGAACTACTGTTTAGAATGACAAGTCTCACTATCACCATCTCTGCTTGACCATGTCACTTCTGGACTACTTACTGGTTGTCAACACTTCCTTGAGCTCAACCAGACCCTGTATTTCCTGTATCCTGTGAAGTGCAAAGGGATCCTGATTCTGTATTTATATTTTTTCAAGGAATCTATGGCTCTTACTTCACTTTGGGTGTAGCTACTACTCTGTGGTACTAGTCTAATTTCTGAGTCTTCTGGGGTTGCAGGTAAAATGAGGTGATTTCTGCCAATATTTTCAGGCAATCAGTTTTATCTTCCAGTAACTTACTCTCTTTCTTCCAATTTTTAGCTCAAAGGTTAGTTAGAAACATTTTCTAGCTTTCATTAAAGACAGAAATATTATTTCAAATTGTTGTCTGGTTGATTTAAGAGCCTTTCAAGATCACCTACCTTAAAATGAAAACCCCAAGTTTAAATTCTTTTATTTATTAGAGCTGACATAACAAATTTAAGACAAATTTAAGTAAATCTTTATTTCTCAATGACGTCTATTATAAAACTACAGATAAAGTAATAAGTGAGAGAGCTGACATTTGAACTTGTGGCTTTGATCATAGGCTCTAAGCAACTAAACAAAGATTAAGATGAATACTGAAGAATGGACAGGGGTAACAGAGGGGAGCAGAGTATAGGTTAATTGGGACACAGTATCCTTGTCACATCTAAGCACACTGAAAAACTGGTTTCTTGCTTACTTAACGTTATGAATAGCTAGTATGACTTACTTTAGTACCAAATACAATAATAAAGGATTTGTGCTACATTGAGGAAGAATTTAAAAGCCAGCATTCAATATACCATACTGTTTTCAAGCTATACCATAGAGATTTAGCTTAACCTAATTGATACTGCATACTAAATCAGTTAACTGACAGTTGTTGAATTTTTCTACAATGAAAACCAATACATAAACTACTGTCTAGCTTTTAGAGTGCCAGAAGGTGCTACGCTGGTGGGGGAGAAAAGGCATCAGTAGTCCTACCCAGCTGTGAACAGACCCTGTATGCTACACAACTGAACTGCCAGGCACAGTGTGCCTCCACTGGTGCAACAGTGGCATGCCTTTTCTGGGGGTAACCAACTATGTTCTGGCTGGATCTGAGGCCCACTCTGAAGCTACTGCTGCTACTTTCTAAATATTTGTTTATACCCATAAAATAGCTCTCAACTTTGGTCAGAAAAGCCTTGTTTTGCAGTGGATGGCTGTTACAGCAGACCCATAACTGGTCAAAGTGCTGAGCCCTAAACAAGACATCTCTATCTCCCTCTCCAAATCTTGGGAGATACTAAAGAAGAGTGGGTAGAAAAATTGTAGGAGTTGGAGGATGGAGAAGAGCTTCATGCAAAGCTGTCCAGATATGACATAAGTTATTGCACTCATTAACTCAGCTGTGGTGGTTACCCACATGAAATTGGGCCTATCAACATTCTGTCATGGATGGGGAAGGGCTATGATAACCCCACCTGTAGCTAAGATGTTGGCAGTTCATGGCTGCTGGGGCAGTAAGAGATTTTCTTCAGCATTGCAGCCACTGGTAAGTTGTCTATGCTCTTATAAATCACCACACATTCATGCTCATGCAAGCAACTCTAAGTAAACTCAGGGAGTCATAAAAAAAATAAATAAATAAAAGAAGGGAGAGAGGGAAGGAGGGAAAAGC